TCTTGTGCCATTTTTAGACCCTCCTAGTGATCAAGGCACATGTCCTACCATGAGCAATTCCTGTTTACTCACTATTCAGCCCCTAGCCTGCTTACCCCACACCCTGCAACTACCTCCAACTCTCCCAGCTAAGAACTGTCTTTGATCATTCTGATTCAGCTGGTCTTCTCCCAGCATCAGTAACATATTCAACATCTCTGTATCACTCACCTACCAACTAGGACAAAGGTTTGGGTTTACGTATTAGTGCAAGCACTGCTTTCTACCTCTTTCTATCTCAAATTACAAAGCTGATTAGTCCCTTCAGAAGGTGGAAGGAAGGTAAGAATCTACATACTAGATTCTGACACCAAGCTGAATTCCTTCTCCAATTTAGGTTTCATGATGAGAGTTAAATAAAGAATTCCTCCCCCATCCCCAGTTAACTCCTTCCTGATCCTGACGCATTTTCTCATCCCCGCATGCATCTTAAGTCACCATTCCTTTTCTTACAAGCCAATCCTCCACCTTAGCTTCCTGCCTCATGAGGGCCCTCACTCCAACATGCTGACATTATGTCCTCTCCCTCCTTCGTGGCTTCCATCCTTTAGTTTCAAGTAAAGAAATCGGCCAAAAGTAAATGCTCAGTAAATGTCTTATGAATGACTAAAGCTCCAGATCTATATCTTCAAGTATTCGCTGGACATTTTTAAAACTGGCTTTACTGAGGTATGCTGACATACAAAAAATTGTACATACTTAATGTATACAATTTGATGTGTTTGCACATATACATACACCTTTGAAACCATCACCACAGTCAAGGTAACAGACATAGAGCTCTACATTTTGGTCATCCCGCTGTTACCTCAAACTTCTCAAGCCAACAACAGAAATCATTAATATTCTACCAGATCTGGCTCTTCTCCCTAACTTTCCAGCTTTTTTGGGATGTACCATAATTGTCCTAGTTCCCCATATTCGACATCACAATGGCTTCGATGCTTTCTTCTGTAACTGGCTAATTTTAAGTCTAGTAATTATATTTTCTACCTCATAGTACAAGGCATATGGAAGGCAATCAGTCACTGCAAGGTCCACTGCATCTGTACAGATATGACTGCCTCATTGAAGTAGCCTCAGTTGATCAAACTACCTGAAGTCTCTCAATCCTCCACTTCATCCATTCATCCAATCTTAAGATTTCTCGTCCGATATATAACTTTGTTCATTAAGCCTTCCTTACTTAGCAATAGTGGATAGTCGGGAAGGCCAAACCCTTCCCCAGCATTCAAGAACTGCCACAATCTGGACCCAATCAAGTCTCCTAATCTTAGCCCCTTCTATTTCTCTATTGCAATTCCTCATCATAATCCAAGTGATTTTTATCCCATGAACCAAGATTGTGTGCATACACACACTTGCTCAGGGTATTTCCCTGCTTGGAAATACCCTTCAAATATGGACCCTAACAATCTTTTGGGGGCAAGACTTCGACTCTTCCAGTCAAAAACCTCTATTACAGAGTAAGTATCATAGATTTTGTATTATTTCATGTTTCATGTACTAGATTTAATTCCCCAACAACATTTTAAGATCTTTAAGGGCAGACATTATGTAGTATACTTCTGTATTCTTCCCAGAACCCAGTAACTAGGTTTACCAATGCCAGGAAAAGTCTTCCACCTCTTGGATAAACGTCTTCAATAACGTGCTCATTAAGGCTTACCCTTCATTTCCACCTCAGATCTCAAAGAACAACTATTTAAAAACTGTACCACCTTGATCATATTTAAAGATACATGAAGGCTAATGTTTAAATTCTTTAGCAGGAAGTTTAAAAAAATTCTTTCACAAGAGGCATAACATAATAACACTTAGTACTCTAATTCAACATTTCACTTCATTCTCCCACCCACACTTTATGAAAGATTTAACACCCAATTTAGAACACTTGTCTTCATAAATACTCATGCAGTTTCTAAGGGGAAATATCTTAAACTTAAGTATGATTTACAACTGTGAACTTCAAAGAAAAAACATGTTTTAAATCATTAAAGAGTAAATATTTGAGTGGAAAGAAACAGGTTTATTGGTTTATTTTGTTTAAGTTGTGCTTTAAATATTTTTCCAAGAGTTCAGCTCCTGGTATGGAAAATTCTTTTAGTGATATACTACAAAAGTAAGCACAAATTAAGCATCAAAAAATTCATATCCTTCACATTTGGTGTAATATGGTAAAGATTTCATTGCCACAATATTAAGAAATATCAACAATACGAGTCTGAATAACTAATTCATAAGGAAGGGTTTTAACTGAACCAAATCCTGGGTTTTCTTTCGTCACTCCAAGTTTCTTTTCTATTTTAAACTAGAGGCAACAGAAATTTCTTTGTTTCCAGGAATGCTGGAAATCTTAAGTGATAGAACAGGTAGCTCGACTTCACGTCTCTCCTCAGGGGGAGAAAAACACTGCGGATAAAGTAATTTTGTTTTCATTTCTGGAAAAATCATTTTTCCATCAATCTTCATAATTCCCTAAAATAAACTGTTAAAAAGTTACTGGCCGGTTGACCACTTCACCCTGATTTGTGGAAATACTATACATTAATTTCAGGAACACATGGCTAACTCAAGTTTTCTCACTACTGTGAAGATCTAAAAGTTGCTCCTGACTCTTGCAGAAAACTCGAGGAAAAATTTACAAGCTCGTGATATATTCCTGCATCTCATCTTCACTACTTTTAAACAAGAGAATAGTCACAGTAGTCTAGGCACAAGAGTCACACGGCAAATCATCAAATTTGTTTTTAGGATACCCCACAATTTTAATTGTGGAGAACTTTTTTGTTGACCCAAATGCTTAAGAACCACATCTACAGAGAGGATGGAAATAAGAAGGTAAGAATTTACCATTTCATTCAGAGACAGTGACAAGTATTCCTCTCTTCTTTGCTAATTATGAGATGACTGCCCTTCCCCAAGTCATCACAACTTCGGGTAGGCATAAAGTGAAAGGCAGAATTTATCATTTAAAATACGAGACTCACATTCTAATCCACCTTAATGAAGATTTTAAAAAATTTAAAAATTCAAAAGATAGGGAACTCAGATAATAAAACAAAGCAAGGAGCCAGAAGAAATACTGAACAGGCAGGAGTTCCTAAAGCATGTAAATCAAATAAAGACAAGTCAAATAAGGACCAGAAACCATATAAATCAAATAAAGTCAAGACAAATGAAATAAAGACCAGAAACCATTTTCTCCTCAGCACGCAGGGTTGCCCAAAATCAAACTTGATCGGGAGCTGCTCACTCTGCACACGTCCGCACGCACGCAGCGCGTGCACACAAAGGAACGAGGAGTACTGAGCCACTCCGAGAGGAACTTCACACGCGGACTGCTCTACTCCCCGACGGAAGGAGAGCACGGTGGGAAAGTCTTCCCACTTTCTTCCCCATCAGACAGAGCAAAACTGTAGTTGATAAGGCAAACTACTAATTTTCTGGATTTAATCAAAGGCAGAACTGAATGAATGGGGTGAGGGGCAGTGGCTTCGGGGAAGGAGGGGGTGGCGTGAGAAGAAGGAAGTTTGAGGCATTTTGTAAAGCTTGAATGGATTAACCTTTTAAAAGGCCCTAATGTCTCGCATTTCCCTTTTGCTTCCCTTTCTTTTTTTTTTTTTTTTATTAACTACACATCGATTTCCTGGGACTCAACCCTGACTTGTCCTATATTTAGCTGAAAGGCCTGGTGCTTAGGACACACAGGAGTCCTAGGTTAGATATATGTCCGATACAAACATTCCTTTGGGGGGAAAGCATTTTAAAAATCACTTTTTTCGTGTGATCATGCATCAAATATGACCAACTGTTTTTTTTAAAAAGATGAATTCCATGCATTATTTAGTAAGTTGAGGCCCCAACCCATGGCGCTTTGATTTCTACTAGCAACATAAGCTATTTACTAAACATCTTTTCTGAACTTAGAAAACGTTTGGTTTCACATTTTTAGAAGATAATGAGGCTTAAGTGTTTCTAGTCTTTTACCTGTTCATAAGTGTGGTTGTTTAGGCTGTCTAGCAAAGGAATAAAAAAAATAAAACGTGAATGCTTAAAAGCTACTCAACTTGGATAACAGTAGATAGCTTGAAATGCACCGATTTAAAAACTTAACAATGTAGAAAGTTTGTGGACATAGCTTGTTTCTTCTTTAATAAAATGAAAATGTAAGGGGGGAGAGCTGGTAAGATGTAAAAGGTAAAAAGTTAGGTCCCAGGCTGTAATATCTTGTCGTCCAGGACAAAAAGCTTTGCAACGACCACACTGCCACAGCCCTCCGGTGGGAAAGGCAGGGGGCGGGGGCGGGGGCGGGAGCGTCATCACCTCCGCTGCTCTAACTTAGGACCCTGCGTTTCTCACACCCCACTGCGGGCTGGGCCCGGTTGGGGGAGCGAGACACAACTTGGCCCCGAAGCAGCAGCCCCAAAAGGGGAAAAAAGTCACCTCGCTCTTTGCTCTACGCACACAGGAAGAGCCCAATTCAAAGCCGCCACCACCGACACCCCCTTGCCTTGCTCCGCCCCAACTTGTGTCGTGTGTGTGTGTGTGTGTGTGTGTGTGAGTGTGTGTGTGTGTAAGCACCACTTGCGTTTTACCCTACCAATTCCGAAACACCTCCATCTCTCCCAAGTGAAGTGCTTCCATTCCCACCCCCAAGCGCACCAGCTCAGCCGGCGCAGGTGTCCCGCCCCCGCCTGTTTTAGCGCCCCCCCAGCCCCCGGCATCCCCACCGAGCCGCGCGCCCCAGTCCCTCCGCGCCCGCCCGGCGCCCTGCACCGCCTAGCTTACACGCCGGGAAACACCGAGAGCTCTCCGCCCGGGTCACCTGGCCGGAGCGCCCGGCCTGTCTTCGCTCGGGGGAGCCCCGGGCCGCCTCTCGTCGCCGGCGCCCAGCGCGGAGCGCGCCCCGGGCTCCCGGGCAGTCACGTGGCCGGCGGGGGCGGCCCGGGCGTCCTCACCTGCATCCCTGGCACTTGGACCGCCACCGGTGAGTGGGCCATGAAGGCGAAAGCGGCTCCGCGCGGCGGCGGCGGCGGCGGCGCCTCGGGCTCCGACTGGCTCCTCCTCCGGGGGTAGGTCGGCGGCCCGCTCAGTCTCTTCGACCGGGGCCTGGAAGGACACACACGAGTGGGCTGACGGGGCGGGGGGCGCGCGCGCGGCCCGGGACCGGGAGGTGGGCGGGCCGCCGCGAGGCTCCCCGGGACTCAGTCTACCTTTCCGGCGCCCGCCCGCCGCTCTGGCCGCCGCCTCCGCTGCCGTTGCTCCTGAGCGCCGGGCGCCGTGTGTGGCAGTGGCCGGGACCGGGGCTCCAGTGATGCCGCTCGGCTGCGCCTCGCCGCTTTAGGAAGAGGAGGTGGAGGCGCCTCAGCCACCCGCCCGCTCGCCGGGCCGGGGAGGCGGTTGGGGGCGGTTCCGCCGCTGGCCCTGCCCCCGCCCCGCCGCCGGGCGGTGTCAGGGGAGCTAGGGCTCCGCGCTGGGAAGGGGCTCGGCTGGGGCTCCGAGAGCCCGGGAAGACGGAGGCTGTCCTGACCCACGGAGAGGAGAACTCGGGGACTGGGGGGCGTGGAGCACGGCCCGGCCTGGAGAGAGAAGGGAAGAGTCCGGTGACCCGCGGGGTCTGAGGGCGTCCCGGACGCGGCCACGTTGCAGGCAGGCGCGCGAGGGCACGGGCGGCGCAGCCTCGGAGAAGGGTTGAGTTGAAACTTGGCGGGTGTCGGAATTCCTTCTCGAGTCCTCGACGTGGTCGAGGGCGGGGGCGCAGAGAGCCGCCGAGTCCGAGTCGGCGGACCCCCGCTCTCTCCCGTGGTCCGGTGTCCCCCCTGGGCGGGGGCCGTGGCCGCTCTCCTCTTTCCAGGTTCCCCGCCCCCCGTCAGGCTTCAGGTGTCCTAGAACTGGGGTTACCCCTACCTCTTGGGCTACCAGTTGGGGGGTTGTGGGGGAGGGCGACCAGACTGGGGCTTCTCCTCATCACAAGCACGTGTAAGAGAGACGGGAGCTGGAAAACAGATGGCACCTCGGCAGAAAAATGAATGAGGAAATAGAGGCCTGGGAAATGAGATTGGGTCATTATTGAACTCAGCATACACGGCAGTGGTTTCCGCAAGTCCCTGCCTCCACCCCATTTGAAGTTCCACTCCAGCAGGGAGGCAGGCTCTTCGGAGAGTAGCCTAACAGTAACGAGGTTAAAAATAATAATAGCAGTTGCAGTCATCTCATTAGGAAGGCACCTTTGGGAAACCACAAGTGCCAATTTAAAATGAGGATGGAGTTCCCTAACTTGCAGGTTATTGTAGGACTGTACCCACCATGGTGTTGGGGCTCTGGCAGACGAGAAATGTTTGTCTTGTTCCTTTTGAATCTGCTCAAAAGATAGCATATCATTGTTATCAATATATTTAGCTGTCGTTAATGAGTTCCATTTTCTTTCTGTCAGGGACCTCTAAGTGATATATATGTATATATGTTACCTTACTGAATCTTTACAAGGGCCCTCTGAGGTCATATTACTTTTCTTCCATTTTACTGAAATGCAAAAAAGGCTCAGTAAGCTTGAATAATTTGACCCAATGTCACATAATTAAGAAGTGGGAGGGCTGGGAATTCAAACTCAGGTCCTTCTGACTTTTAAGATCTGCTCTCTTAGCAACTGTCAAGTATACAAAACAGTATTGTTAACTATAAGTCACCATGCCATACAACACATCCCCAGAATGTAACAATTTTCTAACTGGAAATTTGAGCCCTTTGACTACCTTCACCTGTTTCCCCCATCACCCTCCCCTGGCTACCAGCAATCTATCCTCTGTTTCTGTAAGTTTGGTTTTTTTTTTAGATTCACCATATAAGTGAGATCATATAGTATTTGTCTTTCTCTGTCTGACATTTCACTTAGCATAACGCCCTCAAATCCATCCACATTGTCACAAATGGCAGGATTTGCTTCTTCTTATAGCTAGACAATATTCCTTTGCATGTTTATACAGCACATTTTCTTTATCCATTCAGATGATAAAGGATATCCTCAATTCCAGGCCCTCAGTACTTCCAAGCTAATGATAGGCCTCAATCCAGTCTGTATTTCCCACCAGCCCAGTTCACACTTAATGCCAGCCTGACCAGAAACCTACAGTGCCATGTAAACCTCAGTGTCCATAGCAGTTCCCTGGGATTCTTTTTAAAGTGCAGATTTTGATTTAGCAAGCTTGGAGTGGGTCCAAGATTCTGCATTGCTAATGCGTCCCTGGGTGCTATGATAGTGCTGATTCTTAGACCACACCTTGAGTAGCAAGGGTCTGAATCAAGCTCCATCATTTGAGTCTCATCTCATGTCCCACCCCCACTGATTCTTTCGCATTGCTTCAAGCCTTCCTTCAGACTTCCTATTGCATGTTGGTGGGAGCAGCACTCACATTGTAGTTCTTTTCTCTTATATCATGCATTTCATTTGCTTCTCTTACATAAGAATTACTTGGATAGAATGTCAGCTTTTTGAGGGCAAGATTTTTGTTGGTTATGTTCATTGCTGTATCCTCAGAGCCTAGAACAATGTATGGCACACAGGAAACCCTCAGTAGATATCCATTGAATGAATGAATGGATGGATTTCTTTTCAATTCTTCACTGAGTTTGATATAGTGCTAGTTGGTATAGTGTTTTATTGATAGCCTGGTTCAACTCTTTCATTTTTCTGTCTCCTAAATTCTTTTCTGTTACTTTAATTTCACAACTACTTAAAAGGGCAAGTTGTATAATTTTAATAAATAAGGTAAACATATCTAAGAAGTGACATTTCCTGACATGATTTTGTCCTAGAGTTATGTAACCATGTGGAAGACTAAATGTTACATTTTGAGACCTAAACTATTGAGACATTTCCTTAAAAACACTGCAGTTTGAGATCTTGCTGAACTTTCTACCTTTCTCTAGCTTTTGTGCTATTAAATAAACTATTTGTTATTATTATTGATAGAGACCTCTTGGGTTTTTACATGGAGTTACTTGTAATTTGCTTATGCTTTTTCTTGTGTCTATTTCTTAATTTAAACAAAATGACAAGAAATTCAAGGATGCTTTTGTTATCTCCCACACAAAAGGGCACTTCAGTATTTTTTACTCCAAAATGTCAGCCTAGAATCTAATAATATATTGCAGTGTGTTCCCACAGCTTGAAGGGAGATACCATATCTTACGTTCTGAGTAGCCCTAGAGGGTGTGACATAGTGTCTGAGATCGGATTTGGTACATGCTTGATTGATGTGATCTGAGTGGCTATGAATACTTAATAGCCATATAAAGTAAAATTATATACTAATTATATGCTTAATTATATATTAAGCAAAGTCAGTGAATTCCAAGTTAGACTGTGTCCTTGAGCCCAACAGAAGTTAATAATTAAAATTAACAACCTGTGGCCTCAGTTTCTTGACATTTGTCATGCCCCCAATATTAAATATTTGACTTTTCCTATGTTTATAAATATTTACTGAGTGGACTGGGCCCATAGCTAAAGTGCAGATAGACAAAAGTGGCCAAACTTTAATGCAGGCAATAATGGGGTCAGGCATTAGGACCATGACTGTCAACCAGGGGAAAATTTGCTTCCTGGAGACGTTTTTGGTTGTCAGAAATTAGGGGGTGGGAAAGGTGCTACTGGTAGCAGGTAGAGGTCAGAGACGCTGCTAACCATAGTCTGATGCACAGGACTGCCCTTATAACTCAGGATTAGCCAGCCCTAAATGTCAATGGTGCCTGCATTTGAAACACCATGCTCTATACTCTTTGCATTAGGGGTTACTAACCAGATAATAGACCTAAGAATCCCTATTCCCTGAATATTTCAGTTCAGTGTGGTGGGTGGGTTAAAACAAACAAACAATCCCACACGATACTGGGCCACATCAAGGGAGTACTGGAAACAAAGCAGTATTTTTAAGCTACCTTTGTATAAACTATAGATCATCTGCCACCACCGAGTGACTACTGCTTAATGAAAACTACTATTGAACAGAAAGTAACCTTAGGAAAAATTTAATGATTTGTGTTTTAAAAATTTTATCATGGGTCATGTTATAATGTACAAGGCAATACCTGGAAGCCTTCAAATATATTACCTCATTGAGATAAATTTGACCTCTTACGCTACTTTATCAAATTTAAAGGCAGGGTTTCACATTGTGGACTATCACATTTTGAGACTAATGACTATATTAAAATGGATAAACTTCATATGTGTCTGAAGTGTAAGAGAAGTTGATACAAGTATCTGAATTTCTTTCAATTATCTGAGTATTTGAAACTACAGGAAATTATCTGGGTAATTCTAGAACCTCGCCATCCAGTGATAGGAATATTTTGATGTAAGCTACTAGACTCTATTAATATTTGGAAATATACCATTCACTGGTTCTTTTTCTTTTTTTGTAAAAGTTTACATGATACCGTAACCCTCTTTACTCTCTGTGGGTATCAAATTGGAAACCACAAAATAATAATAGTTCTTGCAGATGTTGTAATCTTGCTATTGTTCCAGCAAAGCATCCCAGTGAAAAACTTACTGAATCAATTCTTGGTCAAGGGGAATTAACCTGTGTAATTGCTTAATTCTCCTGAATAACCTTGCACCTTTGGGGGCTCACACAGTACTCTGCCATAGTAATAGCACAGCTGACTTTTCTTGCTAGCTTTACTTCCTGATGCTACTGAGGGGAGTAGAGCAACAGAGGAGGTGGGTGGAAGCAGATGCTGTTTAAGCGGTTTCCTGCTTAGAACATTTCTTTACATATACGCTTCGAAATATTTGCATTTAGATATGAAAAGAATTGAGCTCATTACTTCTTGCCTTTACCAATTGGTTCCAAAACTGAGAGGTAGACGTGGCCCGAACAATTTTATTCACATGTAGAGATAGAAGTCGAAAGATAGAAGGGTAAGAAATAACTTCCTGGTTCCAGTTTTGCTGCCTGCCTAAAATCAACACGGTCTCACTGGTGATCATCAGAGG